AGAGCGGATCTTCTCTATTAACTTCATTACAACTCGTGTGTGCTGCTCTCCTTAAGAGATGTACCCTCTTTACGAGAACCGCCCTCCTTAAGAGATGTACCCTCTTTGCGAGAACTGCTCTCCTTAAGAGAAGCGCCCTCTTTGCGAGAACTGCTCTCCTTAAGAGAACTGATCTCCTTAAGAGAAGTGGCCTCTTTACGAGAACTGCTCTCCTTACGAGAACTGCTCTCCTTAAGAGAACTGATCTCCTTAAGAGAAGTACTCTCTTTGCGAGAACTGCTGTCCTTACGAGAAAGGCTCTCTGCTTCAAGGGGATTCTCCCCAGCGGCCTTCATTGGGGTGTTGACAGCGTTGCTGGATAGGTTATCATCTTCTTTAACACTTTTATCAGCCTTCTTGCTGGAGTCAGTGCCGTAAAGGGAACCAGACTTTCTCACACTTTCCTTTTCGTCAACGCTCTTATCCCTCATATCTTCATCACTTGGGAGAGCGATACCTTCAGCAGCTTCCCTTACTTCTGGCACTTCAGTCTCAAGAACCTTTCCTTCCTGTAATCCCATTTCTGCCTTCTGCACCTCGAGGGGAACCTCAAGAACTCCAAGAATGGGATAACCATAACGAGCTTCAAAGGCGCATTCATTACGCATTTGTCCAATCTGCACACGTGGTCGGCGGTAGTCCTCATCATCAGAGGCACCTTCGTCGCTGAAGTCATCATCAAAGTCCTCAACCTTCTGTGGTAAACCAGCACCAGTGAAGTTAAGAAGAACGAGTTCTTCAAGTCTAGCCTTCTCGTAGGCTGCTTCCTGCTCTGGTGTGTTAATTGGATAAGTCGTCTTGAATGTCACCTTTTCATAGTAGCCGCAGAACTCTGAGAAGTCTGCCTCATTGGCAAGTGCCTGCAGTTGTTCTCTCTTCACATCAGCACTGTGGCGTACGTCGAAGTTCACCAAAAGTGATCCAAGAGTAAAGCAGAAGTTACTGAAGTTCTCCGTTGGTAAGCCCAATGCACGAGAGAGGTCATTTGTAAGGGCCTTCTCCATGTTTTGGACGTGTTCAGTGTTGTTAACCAGATCACCCCATTTGTCACCAGAGAACTTAAGGTTAAGAGTAGAATCAACAAAATCTGGAATAAGTGATTTAGTCACCATAACCAATCTGTCACGTCCAAGTTGTTGTAATTGTCGAATACGACACTGTGTGGCCTCAAGACGGCGAATGGCAGCTAGAAGAAGGGCATCGAGTTGACGCATTTCCTCCTCATCTTCCTCTGTGAAGTTCTCCTTCCTTCGAAGTTCCTCCATACGTTGTTTGAGTTCAAGGATTTGTTGTTCTTCAAAGGCTTCAGCCGCGAGGAGAGCCTCCATCTCCTGGAGATCATGTGCCTCCTTCGCCTCCTTAACTGCAGTCCTCAATTGTTCAACCTCTTCTTCTGTAAGACGAACGAAGGTGTTGCCATCCTCATCATCTTCCTCTTCCTTTTCTCCAAAGACAACAAGTACACTCTCGCGCAGAATAATCTCCGTCACAACACGACCCTTATCCATACGACGATAGAAGAGGGTGTCAGTAGTTGCTTTAGCATCATCCAACATTAAGGTTGCAATGGCTGTATTGCCACAAATGGCTTTCTTCATATCTGTAATTTGTTCCTCCAACATTGCGACCTTCTCACGCAAACCATTAACTTCACGAACAAGGAGAACCTGCTCCTGATTATCCACAACACATTCATCCACGACATGCTCCTCTGCCTCACGGGCTTCTGAACAGGTAATCTGGGCTAACAGCCAGTTGTGCATGGTCACTTCAATCTGTGTACCCTGTGGAATGGAAGCTCCCCGATGGCTTTGTGATTGACTGCTGTAACTAAACATAGATCCACGACGACGTGAACCAAGTTCTGTGAGAATCTTCCTCCTGTATGCCTTTGGCAGCGGTGTCACGGTGCAGTCGAGCTGCATCACACGTGACATGAAGTCCGGCCGCCGCATCACCGCCTGCATGGATTCCCAGCTGGTCGCATGATCTTCACGCAATGCCAACATGATGGCCCGCGCGAGAGACACCAACTCCTCCGTTGGACGTCCAGGCGCCCGCATATCACGCCACTGACGCTGTGGGATTCTCTCAATCTCATGGCGACGTTCGTCCAATTCCTCCATCGTCGCCCGTGTCCTGGTGGCGGCCTCTGCCTGTCGCTGCAGTGTGGCCTCCCGCACCTTAAAGAGACTTGCCGATGCCTTATCTTCCTCAGCGACGACCTGCTCCAACTCCCGGTCCAACTGCACCTTCTCTTCCCAGAGCTGCAGTTTGCCGTTGATGGCGGCGATTTCCTGCAGTTTCTGGTCCAAGAGGGGGTTGCCGCGGGTCATGACCTCAACACGGTCGTAGAATTCAACGCGGACATGGTTTGATGTGGGAAAGCTCAGCACTTTCCCAAGGGTGTTCTTCCACTCACGATCAGCCCCAATACGCTCAAAACAGATAAAGTCATTCACCTTAATTTCTTTTTCTTGTTTTACTTCCCCCACCGTCATTGTTTATGATAATGATGATGATGTTGTTGTTGTTTTTTCTTCCTTCACTAGTATCTGTATATGTATGTATTTGTTTTGTTTCTCTTCTTAGCTTTTTTTTTTTTTTTTTGGTTATTTTCCTTTCTTTTTTTTTTTCCCTTACTACTAATGCTGCTGCTACGACCCTATTGTTTTTCGTTTCTTTTGCAGATGTTAATAAAATCTTCGTTCTATTTTTTCTTTTAAAAAAAAAAAAAAAGAATAAAATGGAAGAGAAAGAAATTACTTCATTCAGTAATAAAAAAAGAAGAAGAAAAAGAGTCAATCCACCCTTTTTGTAAACACTTACTATTCTTCCGCCTTTTCGTTTTGTTTTTCCCTGTAGTACCTTCACTCCTCGCCTGTTCTTTTTCCCCTTGTATCAATACAAGAGAGCCAAAAAGAATCAAAGGTTCTTTAGTTGCTATAGGTCTCCAATCCCATTTTTTTTTTTTTTCCTGTCTTTCTTCCTTGGTGATGTCTCTAATCTAATGTAAGCGTAAACTATACTTCTTTTTTTTTTGTTTTCCTTTAATTGCTAACACCCACAAAGATAAATAAAAAAAGAAAAAAGGAAGAAAGAAAGAAAGAGAGGAGAAAAAAATATTCATGCAAGTAACGGTGAAAGAAAACAAACATCCAAATTAAACAGTAATTCCATAGTTTTGTATACACTCGAGATTTGCATAGAAAAATAAACAAAACAGTAGGAGAAAAGAAAAAAAAAAAACAAAGAAGTGAAGAAAAAAGAAAAAAAAAGTGAAGAAAAAAAAAAAACAAGAAAATCTGCGCATGAACCACGAGAGGTAAACGCAGGGTACAGACCATCCCATGTCACGTAGGAACTTTTACTAACAATAAGGAGGAACATAGATACATAGTTTTTTTTTTTTTTTTTTTTTTTTTTTTTTTTTTTTTTTTTTAATCCTTCTTACTCACAAAATCAAGGATTCTCTCACTTGTCAGAACAATATCAGCACATTTAATCTGAAGCATACCGTAAAAATAAGAAAAAAACAAAAAAAAACAAAAAAAAGAATGATATATAAAAAAAAAAGGGGGGGGGGTTAAAAAAAAAAGAAAAAAAACTGCTCAGATTCATACAGCTACCTGCATACAAATAAACACATGAACAAAAAGCATAAATATAATGGAAAAATACAAGAAAAAAACAACAACTAATAACGTATGAAATTACAGCACATAGTAATAGTAATAGAAACACCAAGTAAGACTCATAGATACACTTACTGTTTTCTGAAAAATTAGATACAAGAGAAAAAATGAATACAAACCAAGAAGAGAAAAATAATAGCACAAAGGTGCAATGGTGTAAAGCAAAAAAAAAAAACAAAAAGAGGCTCTCTCTTTCCTCTTCATGTCTTCCTCTTTACCTTCACCTACTATAGCGTCAAGAGAGGAACAATTCAAAAAAAAAAAAAAAAAGAGGGATCCTTTTTAATGATTTTTTTTAAAGAACTTCTCTTGTTTCCTGAATGTTCTTCTTCCTCCGACCATTTATCAATGGTAATATCGGTTTTGCTGCACAGCACCCTTGACAGATTTTCACATGGCCGTTTGTATAAAAAGCATCAAAGCTGTATCTACTCATTTTTTTTTTCTTTTTTCTTCACACATATCTTCACTAACAGCACATTGATACTCTCAGAAAGTTACACTATGTGTGCTGTTTTCTCCTTGATGGATTGCTATCTCTTTCTTCTTTTTCATTCTTTCCTTCATATACTTGTCTTCAGTTTTTTTTTCTTTTTGTTTTTCTTGCTTTGCTGTACACTCACTTCGTCATTTATTTATTTTATTGCTTTAGTTCATGTTCGTTCTACTTTTCTTTCCCCTATTTGTACGTTTTCACTTCTAGGTACTTTAATCACATACGTGTATTTCTTGCTACACCACGCATAAACAGTTTACCTGCATAAAAAAAGAAAAATTCATTTGCCACTCAGAGAATCTTCACCCACCCATATACATCTCCACTTACTCATCACAATCCAGGAGGCAGAGAATTCATAAATAAATTAATAAAAGAAAAAAAAAAGAACCATACCATTAAAGGTAAATCACATTTTCGCAGAAAAATAATACAATCTACACACGCACATATATATAAATATATATTATTCCTATCCCTATTTCATTGACTATGCAGGACCTTCACTTGAGACACGGCGTCGCCGGGAATCACTCATCGTCTTCTCTCTACGATACCGCTCCTCCTCCAGAAGGTCCCTATACTCATCACGCTCCCGCCTTGCTTGGGCAAGGGCATTTCGCAAGTACGTTAACTGCTCGGTTTCATTCTCCTCCTCACCCGCATTTATAATATTTGATTTTTGTTGTCGACGTGACCACTCCGCAAAAGCTTCAGCACGAACGGCAGCGTCGGCAGCACTTGAAGCAACCTCCAAGAGTTGAAGTACTGCAGCCTCTTCTTTTTGTCTTGCAGACTCTGATGCTTTTAAAGAAGCTTCACGGCAATGACGTGCCTCACGAAGAGCAGCTTCAGCAACGGCTTCTAGTCGACGTGCCTCCTCCTCAGCCTCCAAAAGATCCGCTTCTGCACGGGTAGTCTCAAAAAACGCCTCTTTTGCACGTCGACGAGCAGAATCAGCTGATTTACTACCCTCATTGCCCGCGTCATTAGAACGAGATATCGGTATATCATAAAGAGCCCATACCTCCTTAAAGGGGTACTTCCTCAACAAGTCTCTCATAACATCCTCACTCATGCTCGGCAAATGCTGCACAGTAACAAATGCGATAAGACCCTGGGGTGCTGGGTCCAGCTCCACTCTCGTTACATCCTCACGCTCACACTTCAGGGCACGTGCGGTCTCGGAAGCCACAGCCTCTTCCACCTCCTTGGGATGCTGCTGCACCACGTATTCCCAGTCTTCACCTTCAAAGCCGAGCTCTTGTGTCGTCCTCACCATCCCCTCGTCGTACAGCTCCCATAGTGTCTCGTACTCGCACGCCTTCAGGTCTGCGTTAACATCCGCCTCCGCCAGCGTCGTCGGGTGCCGCAACCCAAAGTCCACCAGCAGACCCTCATCTGAGTTCGACATCACAACGTCCAAGATGTCATCATTGTCCACAGACAAATATTTAGCCGTGTCGTACACAAAAGCCTGCAACAGATCCTTCCGCTTCTCAACAAGTACATTCTCCCACCCAGGGCCCTCAAAGCCGACGTGATGAGCTGTCACAATATCGTCAACTACACCGGCCGTGTTTTCAGCGGAACGAGCGGCAGCAGAGGCGGAGGCGTCAGTGGGGCCAACACGCGGTACGTAAAGCGCCCACACTGCTTTGTACTCACACTGCTGAAGCGTGTCCATAATTTGTTCCTCTTTCAGCTGCGGAGAGTGCTGCACAGTAACAAATGCGATAAGACCCTGGGGTGCTGGGTCCAGGTCCACTCTCGTTACATCCTCACGCTCACACTTCAGGGCACGTGCGGTCTCGGAAGCCACAGCCTCTTCCACCTCCTTAGGATGCTGCTCCACCACGTATTCCCAGTCTTCACCATCAAAGCCGAGCTCGTGCGTCGTCTCCACCATCCGCTCCTCGTACAGCTCCCATAGTGTCTTGTACTTGCACGCCTTCAGGTCTGCGTTGACATCCGCCTCCGCCAGCGTCGTCGGGTGCCGCAACCCAAAGTCCACCAGCAGACCCTCATCTGAGTTCGACATCACAAC